AAGAGAAAACCTGAAGAGAATTGATAAGGAATGTGGACTGTTTCTTAACAAATACGGAGAAAAATGATAAGACGAAATAATTTTTATATATTTGTTACTTCTAAAAATTTGATAAGCTTGTAACAAAAGATAAATGCTGTGTGGAAAATAAATTAAAGCTCTATAAGATAAGGAAAATAACATTGATGGAAATTTAGTGAACTCAGTGTGGTAAAATGATACTTTATATTTAAAAACGTACTTAAAATATTTTTGAAGTTATACTTCTTTTGGGGCGTTAGAGAAATAGGATGTGGGTAAATTTTTACAATGCGCGCGCACCCCGTCACGGATGTGACGCAGAACCGTCACGGATGTGATGCACACCGTCACGAATGCGAAAATCCTTTGTCTAGAAATATACAGAACGGGACAGATCACACACATTGCCGCCTTTAAAATCCTCAAAAAAAAATTTCTCTTCACTTCCCTGAAGAAGACTCCCGGATTTGAACCGGGGACCTCTCGTTCTGCAGTCGAATGCTCTACCACTGAGCTAAACCTTGGCTTTGCGTTCTGTAGGAACGAATACAAAAATGCTTTGTCTAGAAATATCCAGAACGCGGAACAGATCATTCCCGCCTTCGACCCCCTCTCCATATTATTGGTCCTATTGTCCCTGTGCGGGGGTGTTCGAATTTATTTAAATCGTGATTATCTCAGGTTTGTCTGGTCCGATTGACTGAAGGTTAATATCGTTCAACTCTGCTCGTGACCGCCTTTCGTTCTTGGCCCAGCTTGCCCTGCTAATGATTTTTAGAAAGATTTTAATCTTGTTACGCCAAAGTATAACTCTTCTTACGTGCGTACATAAGTACACACATTTTTTTTATATAAACTGTTGTTAAAATTCTTTACAATACAACTGTAATGTGAGTATAGTTCCAAAATCATTTTTTTAAAAAAAAGTCTAATTTAATTTTTAAATCAGGAATTATCTTCATCAATCATTAAAACCATTTAATGTATTCTTCATGCCGTTTCACCGTGCACAGGGGGGTAGCTACCAATAGGCTAAGGGGTGCCGTGCACCGGGGCCCTAAGACTCAGGAGACCCTCAGACCCTGACCACCAAGAAAGCCGAACTTGCAATTATTTCTCCCAAATTTAAGATATAAATATAAAATGTTGCAATATAACTATAATCATGGCAACTCAGTTGAAAATAATTTCGAACTTGTAGGGAATTTCCCTAAATTCTTTCCGTTGTTTCTTTAGTGTTGCGAACTTTACTTATTGAAAAGTTCATATTCTTTTCAATTTTTACTTCTTTTTTCCTATAAACTGTTACTTGAAAGTTTTATGAAAAATCTTACTATACTTATCAGGACATTTCAAAAAACCTACACAAGAGGCAATTCCTTCTTTTTTTTGGCTACATTCTATTTTTAATAACAATATGATTCATAGGTAGTTTCCTGTTTTAATATTTCGCAATCTCCTCTTATATGTAATAAACTGATGTAATTTTGTCCCGCCTCCTCTGCTTTTTTGCAGATGTGTTTTTGTTTAAAATAATTATAACAATTTCTCTCAAATTTTAATAATGTAAATTAGATAGGAAAAATATAATTACATTCACCTACTTTTTATGATACCAGTTTCCAGTTAAAATTTTAAAGCAGAATTCTTAAGCATATAAATTTTAAGAGCCGTTTAGCCTCAAATAAAGAAAGAAAGCCCTGTTAAAGGAGCCGTCTAAGAATCAGCCCCCACAAGAGAGTCAATAGATTCTTGCAAGAATGCTAATGCTCTCCTTTTCTATTATTTTAGGGGCTGTTTCATTTGTATGTGTACTATTAATTGTAACCAATTCTAGTTTATAGCGATATTAAATGCTATTAGTTTGTAGAGGCCCAATCGAGTGTCGTGATTAATGAAGCTGCTTATTGTTGCCTAATGTCCGTATATTTGCCTTTCTGCGTTGAATAACGTATCACCCTCAGTAGAATTCGGTACGCATTTTAACGAGGGTGGCGTGTCAGGTTTGGAGTCACACGAGGAATAACAATGATGCGGAGAGCGATCATATATAGTTGCGATATCAGCAACAAAATAAAAATTTAAATTGCTTGCTTAAAGACCGTAGATAAGTAGAATATTTAACGTAATCTTATTATTTTTTTTATTTTAAAAAAATGAAATAATCTTTACACGTAAACTCTCATTCCGTTTCCTCGGTATTTTTAAACCGAATTTGTTTAGTTAAGGGGATACAGTGAAATGATCAAATTTTTTTTATTACCACTTATTAACAGTGCGTTTTTTCTCAATAGGTGTACAAAATTTCGTAGCTCTAGTAACGCGTATTCAGTTATTTAAATTTTTTAACATTGCGTCGAAGAGAAAAACCGACACTAGAGCAGGTGACGTATGCATTTAACACTCTTTCATTTATTTTACTGGCCTTTAAGGTACCCGACTACCCTAAAATCATGACTTTTTTTTAAAAAAAAAATTGTCAAAATTTTTTTTGAAGACTTTATTTTATAGGTTATCTTATTATAGCTCTATAAAAAAATACCAAGTTTTTATTTTCCATTCTCTGGAACAAAAACTATGAGTGTTTTAGTATAAGTAGATGCCATAACTTTACATAAGATGTCAAACTTTAAAATGCGTTTTACTCGAAATGTGTGCCTTTTTTTTTTTGAAAAGTTCAAATGTGGACAGCGATTGTTCAAAAAGTTTTGAAAATAATTTGCTGAAATTTTGTGTGTATGTTCTGTGTTTTAGCTTTCAGATGTATCCATCAGTGTTTTATTACAAAATTTACAGTTCTTTATGTGAATATAATCACTGTTTTTTTAAGCAGTTTCATTTAATAGCAAAGATAAAGTGCACTAATTTTTATAAAAATTAAAATCTCTTATTCTGAAGGTCATTTCAAAAAGGAATAGCAAAGCAATACATCAAAATTGAAAAACTGATAATTTGTTCACTTACTGTTTGTACAGAGAGGAACCCGTTTATGTAATTTTTGTCAACCGTTACCCATTTTTTCCCATTTTAGTCATAATAATTTATTTTTCTTTTCTTATAATGTTAACCTTTTTTTTCTTAAAATGTACTAAATAAATCTAAAAACCACAAAAAGATCTCCACTTTTTAAAAAAAAATTGTCGCAAGTAATCGGATACCTTAAAAGTTTTTATGAGAATTTTATTTTTCATGATAATCTTATACTTAAAAAGCAAATGCTTTTTTTTTTAATATTTTATATAAGGCTTTGAAACTTTTTCTGGTTGTTTTGTGTAATATATTTGATGATTATGTACGTGGAATAAGGATTTGTGAAAATAACTACACGGCGGTTCCTCAATGGTACTAGGCTCGAACATATGATGTGCTAGCCACAAGTCCATTACCTTGAACACTAGGCTACCGCGCCCACTTTCTCATACCGAGCGAACGTACAATACCGACCCCTCAGGGGGCTCAACGTCTTTAGGTGGGTACGAGTGTCACAATCCCGAGGTACCCTAGTGATCTTTTCTTTTTCCCAAGGGACTTACTACTTTGGTAAACACGGGTGTCACGACCTCGGGGTACCACAGTGATCCTTCTCTATCTTCGACCCTCCATCTTGTCATCCAATTTCTTCTTTTCCCGTCCAGACCACAGACCTATGAATATTTGGCGCAGTATAGCCAAAATTGGCTCTTGCGCCATAAAACACCAAACTCAACTCAACGTACAATACCGATAACGCTGTCGTACACAAGTGCCTCTTCTCTTAAAATACTTTAATTTCAAAATATATTATTTATACTGATTACCACAATATGATGATAAATCTATGTGTGTTTTGGATTAAGATTCATTTTTCTTTCATTTGAATATCGTGGTTAATTTTAATACTGGCATCCTGCTGTATTTAGGCCTACCGTCCCCTATTTACGAAATGTATTGCCAAAATTGTAAAACGAGTAGATACTTCCCTAATTCAGAGCTGTCCATGATCATAAAGTATTAAATATTTTCCCACATATAAAACAAATTACCCCTCCCCTCATAAATGTCTGAAGCATTTGCCATTTGAACAAACTAAAGTACTTCTAACGCGAGAATGACAGGGGTAGAGTTGTTTATTGCGCAGCCGCGCCAACCACACCCGCTCATTAAATTGGAAGGAGCCAAACAGTTTGGGGAGTTGCACGCGTTTTAAATGCTACATTTACAGTCTTTTGGGGATTGCAACCTCATAATTTTGTAAAGATTTGATTAGATTTACGTTGCGGAACTGACACGAGGCAGCAGTCCTACCAATGTGAATACTAATTAGATTTCGTTCCACAAGTTTCAACAGTGCCGTACACAGACTACTTATATGGAAGGGATTATATTTTTAAGAACACGTAGATACACAAAAAAAAATTCCGAGACGTAATTTTTAAGTAAAAAAATTAAAAATCTGTTGCTCTATTAAGTATGTGAACCCCCAAACACTACCCTTGTGTACGCCACAGATTCCGGGTTTTAATAACACGTGAGGAACGCGGAAAAATCAAGTTTAGTGTATGAAATGAATTCACAAAATCAAACAGTAACAAAAACAAAACAAAATGAATTCACAAGAATCAAAAAGTACATTATTTGAATCGTGACTTATGAGCTCACAGTACTCTTAAATTGCAAATTTTTCAAGTTTTTGAAAAAATATATATATATATATATTTAAGTCTCAATATTTCTGAGTATTTTGGTGTGTGTTGTGTTGATACTGTAAAAACTTCAGAAGTTATTAAGAAATAAGTAGTGAAATTTTAACGGAAAAAACCCCTATCTCTTTCTTATCTTTAACTTCATTTTTTTCAAAACAAAAATTTTTAGCTTCCGCGTAGGATTTCTTAGAAACTATTTATGATATCAATTTGAAATTTTATACACGTGTGTTCAAAATATGACTCTTCATAACTTATAAATCAATTTTCAAAAAAAAAAAAAAATTAACATAATTTTTTTTTTTAAATTTGAATTTAAATTTATTTTTTTCTTAAAATTTTAAAATTTTCGTTATAATTTTTTTAAAATATTTTTTTTCCTCTACATTTCTTAAAAGTTAGTATAACTTCAAAAGTGAACCTTTTTTCCCAAGTAAAATTAATTTTGTACTTCAGAATCCTGCGCGTTGTAAAATACTAATTTTCATATTTTTGAAAAATTGTCCTATTTTTATTTCTTTATAACTTTTTTAATTTTTTCTCTATTTCTCTGAAAATTTGAGAAATATTATAAATATATATGATTATCAAGTAGTAAAAATTTCCAATTATTGTTTCGTTTTGTTGTTAAGTTACATTGGTTTGAAGAAGGATGTTTTTCGAGTGCACGGATATCTGTTAAGGGTCCTGTGAGCCCTTAAAAATTTCATGAAATGTAGCTTTTTTGCACACATCTCAAAGATCTCAAATGGTTGCGGTAGCCTAGTTGCAATGGTCGCAAACTCGTTGACGGCATGTCGTGAGTTCAAGCTTTAGTGCCTATCATGAAGAGGGGCTGATGC